GCCCTATAGCTACTGGTGTCAGTGCCACTGGTTAAATAGCCCACTCTTGCCCATTAGAATTGAGGTGCTACCATTATTATATATAACATATTTTCATATTTATTTGGATATTTGGGAGTCTCTGTACTGCTCCATCAATTTGTTTATCCTTGTACTAAAGCCACACTGTCAAGGCCTCCTTGTGATTATTGTTGGAATTGTATTAAATTTATACATTAATTTGGGAATAATTGATATTTTAATTTTTCCATTCAGGAAAGTGGTATTTCTATTTATTTTGATCTTTATGCTTTTTAAGAACATATGGTTTTCTTCATATAGGACTTGTATCTTTCATGTTAAAAATATGATTTATTTTAATTTTTTAATATTGTAAATGTAATTCTCCTCTCCCACTTTGTCTACTTGAAAAAGTCAGCTTTTAATGCTATAGTTTTTTATTGTAATATTTTTTATTTTTGACCGGAATCGAACCTGGGACCTTTCAGTCCGCAAGCCGACGCTCTATCCACTGAGCCAAACCGGTTTCGGCTATAGTTTTTTTATTGTAATATTTTTTATTCATGAATTAGAAACATTTTATAACTTTTTATAGATTTTTTCATGTATCATTATAATCCAAGCTTTAAAAAATTGCTATTTCAAATTCTCTATAAATATTTTAAATAGTTGCATGATTTTTCCTCACCATAACTTTTAAACCATAATTCTTCATTCTTTATCTATAGCTCAAGGTAGCAGTATTTCTGGTTCTTGAGTCGTGGATTCTTTTTAAATATTTGTTTTAGAAAAAGTGCTAAATTTCAGAAAGGCATAGAGGTAAGAAAGATATCACCAGTAATTCTTTTACCAAGTAGCTCTTAATTTTTCACATACGTCCCTTCAGAATTAAAAACACACACACACATTTTGGAGCTAGTTAGAGGTGATGGCTGTACAGCACTTTTTAAAGAAATGTTTTTATTGATTTTTAAAGGGAGAGGAAAGTGGGGGGGGGGAAGAGAGAGAGAGAGAGATGGAGAGAGAGAGAGATGAGAGAGAAACATTGGTCGGTTGCCCTCCATATGCACCCGGACCAAACCTGAAACCTGGGCATGTGCCTTGACTGGGAATCAAACCAGTGACCTTTTGATGCACGGGAGTATGCTCAACTAGCTGAGCCACACTGGCCAGAGCTCTTCAGAATTTTTTTTTAAAACTTCCCTCTTTTATTATTTTTTAAATTATTATTTTTAAAAAAAATATATTTTTATTTATTTCAGAGAGGAAAGGCGAGGGAGAGACAGAAATATCAATGATGAGAGAGAATAATTGATCAGCTACCTTCTGCACACTCCCCACTGGGGATCGAGCCCGCAACCTGGGCATGTGCCCCTGACTGGAATAGAACCTGGGACCCTTCAGTCAGCAGACCAATGTTCTATCCACTGAGCCAAACTGGCTAGGGCTGTTGCATTGTGTATCTTAAATATTTGTCTGACTTGTAGACTATACCCGAGGATTGATTTCTGTCAGTAAAATTCATGGTTTAAAGGGTGTGAACCATTTTGAAACTTAATTTATATAACATAAATGTAGGCCATGGTCCATTTCAAATGATCATCATGTAATGGCCTTGCTTTAGCAAGGCTAGTTGATAATTGTACTGTCTTAAATCTGAGATGTGGCTAATGCGATTAATTGACTGATTTTCATGGGTCCAAGCGACTCCATTCCTGGTGACATTGGAGCTTCCACTTGCGGGTAATCTAGTCCATTTTCATGCTTCTACTTAGTTTTTTCCAAAAGGTTCCAGTAAAGCTGTAATGTAAGAAAAGGATTAATTTGAAATATACCCTTCTGTCGCAAGGCTAATGTGATGCAGTTTGTAAAAATGCAGCATTTATTACTGATCCTGTCTGTCCTAAAAAAAAAAGCACAGATTGCCATAAAAAAAAGCACAGGATTCTCCGGAATCTCATTACATACTAATGCGGCAGGTTAAGTAGTCTTGAAATATAGGACAACGCTCAGGAAAACCAGTGCTTGCAGAATTTTATCAGTGAACTAGTTAAGCTCATGCCGTGTCCAGCTGTGCTGGTGGATACTTTTACATTCAGCAGGAGGACATTATTTCGTTTTTCATTTGTTAACTCCTTCACTCTTTCATCAAACCTTTACTGAGGACTTGAGGGGAGGTTTTTTTTTTTTTTAAACAACGTTATTGAAGTCTAATTTGCATACCATAAAAATCTGCACTTTGTAAGTGTACTAGTACGATGCAGTGATTTTTTTAAATCGTAAATTTATAGAATTGTGTAACCATCGCCACAATCCAGTTTTAGAACAATATTCTCATTATCGCCAAAGTTCCCTGGTGCCAGTTTATCCTTGATTTCACTCCTAGCCATGGGCAGTTGCTAATGGACTTCCAGTTTCTATATGTTTACCTTTCCTCAACATTTCGTGGAATCATACGATGTGTGCTTCTGACTTCTTTCCCTTAGCATAATATGTTCAAGGTTCATCCATGTTGTGGCATGTGTCAGTACTTTATTCCTTTTATCGCTAATAGTATTCCATTATTGATAGACCACGTTTTATTTATCCATTCCTCTGGGAAACAGCTGTATGCCCTAAAAACTTGAAGTGATTTCCTTGCTTGGTGCTTTTTGCACATATTAAAACATTCACTGTTGATTAAGTGCCCCACTTAATTAAAACACATGACCCAATTCATTAATGTCTGTATAATAAAACTTAGGCTGATAAATGCCAGGGAGGCAGCCAACCCACCACAGTCATGCCAGAGAGCACTTAGCAGAGAGCATTCTTGGAAATAGGAGAGCCTAAGGTGAGAAACAGAGAGCTCCACAAGTGGGTGCCCCTTTCATTGTGCAGGAATTACCATGTAACGGAATAAAGACGAGAAGAAGCCCTGGCCAGTTTACTCAGTGGTTGGAGCATTGACCATGGAAGGGTTACAGGTTCAATTTCCTAGTCAAGGGCACGTACCTTGGTTGCGTTTCAATCTGACCAGTCGGGGCGCATGTGGGAGGCAACCAGTTGATGTCTTTCTCCCGCACCCCCCCCCTTTCCTCCCTTTCACTCTGTCTGAAAATCAATGGAAAAAATATCCTCTAGTGAGGATTAAAAAAAAAAGGTGAGAAGAAATGAAAAACCTTAAGGTGACATAGTTATAAACCAGCACTTATATAGTGTGCTCACCACAAGCTAAAGGACTGTAGATTCACGTGTGTTCTCCTTGATTCACTGGTCTTAATTGACCTGGATTTGTAACCCAGATCCAGGTCAATTAAGATCTCCCTAGGGGAGAACTCATTTTGGTCACATTTACCGCAGTAGCCAGCTTTGATCATTGGCAGTAGTAGCCCAGAATGCTGGGGTGGATTAGTGATGTGTGTCACAGGCACAGAATTGAGAGAAAATGTTGGTATTTGCTGATTCTGTGCCAGGGTTTTCTGGTGTAGACAGATGACCTGAGTAAAGGTTGGGTTTATGAGGGAGAGGACTTTTGTCATAGGATAGAGCATGTTTGTGTTGGTGCTATGGGGTGTAGCAGAAACTAGCTCGGATCAGCATGGGAGTGGGGAGGGCCTGGAGTACAGATGGTGCTGCGAATTACGTACTTTATGTATGCTGTCTCTTCAATGTCTTTAAGCGTCAGTTTCTTTATGTGTAAAATGGAGATAATAATACCTACCTACCTTACCTATATCATAATGTTGATGAGAGGAGCTAATGAATCAGTGGTATGAAAATATGTTACCACCCACAGAACAATAAACCCTTGGAGTGTTATTATTACAGGTGTGGGGGTAGGTGGAGCAGGAAATGCCTGCAGTTAGGCAAGGTTGGAAAGGATGTGGTGGCCTCAGGGCCTTTGCACTGGGCCCCTCTGCCCAGCCTGCTGCCTCTTGTCATATCCATGTTTTAACTCCAAGGTTTCCTCCATTCAGGCCACATAATTTAAGCTGGTTCCTGCCCTCTCTCCACTTACCACCTCATCCTGTTTTATTTTCTTCAAAGTTCTCATCAACTAAAATGGTTTGGTTAGCCTACTTGTTTGTGTGTCTTCCCTGTTAGAACTGTGCAAACGTGGTGAGGCAGAGCCCTTGTGTGTCTCACTTGTGTATCATCAGAGCCTAGAATAGTGCCTGGCACATTGAAGTTCAGGGTTTCTTAATATTTGTTGCACAAGCGAATAAAAGGGTCTCTGAAGTCCACAGACCCAATTGGGCTGAGGGCCAAGGAGTGCTGGGAGGATTGGTAAGAATAGAGGGTAGTTGCTGTGACCTCATCTCTTTGCAAACGTGTTCTTGAATCTTCCATTTCTTGGGTTATTGAGAAATGAATTCAGTTAAATCCACAGTAATTACAACTTTTTGTTGGTAGAAAAGCAAGCAGAGTAATTGTAACTTAATTGAAAATTCCATAAACTCTGAATCTGACTTCAAAGATAATCTCTTACAACAAAATAAAGAACAAGAATCAGAATTCATATTATTTCATTATTGTATGTAACAGGCCATGAAATTACACAATGTTTCCAATTTGTCAGGCTGGTGAATTCAATCTCTTAAAAGATAATCGTGTTCCTTAAACTACCTGTGATATGAATTTGAGTTGAAATGTGTGAATTGGATACAATTAACACCCACCCCTCCCCACACCAAACGGATTTGCTTTTAAATTGGCTTTTTTCTCTCTCCTGCTGCCTGGCACCAATTCCATGTTCCCTTGTTTCTTGTAAATTGTTACTATGCTTCCACCAGTCTAATGATTATGGCTAGACTGTGTGGGCTTCCCTGAGTTATGTGAGGTAAACAGACATGGGGAGAGGTGTGTGGGGCGGCCCAAGGCAATTACCTGCCTGTAAATCCAGGTGTCTCGTGGGTTCCTTCACACCTGGTGACTTACTGGCTCCCGGGAGATGCGGGGCCACTCTGGTGGTTTCTCCCCTTCACAGGTCGACTGATGAATCATTGGTTCTCTCACAGGGTGACCTGTCTGTGCGCCCAGTTTGAGGCCGTCCTACAGCATGGCTTGAAGAGGAGTCGTGGATTAGCACTAACAGCAGCTGCGATCAAACAGGCAGCCGGCTTCTCCAGCAAAACGGAAACAGGTACTGCTCGGCCTGATGTGGTGGCCCAGAGGATGCTGTCTTTTCTCTCTCTGTTTATTTTCATTCAGTAGTGAGCAAGGCAGTCACTGTGTGGGACCGATGGGGGTGGGGTGGGGCAGGGCGTGGTGGTGCAGAAATCACGTTAAGGATGCCCGACTTGTCGGTCATGGTGTTGTCTGGCACCTTAATTTAAGTGAAGTCATCCTTTGTGCAGAATCCCCAGCGTCACGTGTTGCCGTCTTTAAGGGCTCGGAGGCCTGTAGTGGAGGTGCTTATTTCACAGTGTGGTGAGGCAGTTGCTGGGAAATTGGTAATCTGTTTTAATACGATGCATGGGGATAGCATGATATTTCATAATTAAATCTGTCTTTAACAACAGCAACAGAGACCACACAGGTCTCTGAGCGTATACATCCTGCTGCCATCCGTTTTAAAGTTGCCAAAGCATTTCCCAAGTGCCATGCGCCTGTATGTCTGAATGGCACAGGTAATGCTAATAATAATAACTGCTAACACGTGCAAGTATTTAGTGCAAGCCTGGCACTTTGTCCGTCTTCTGCATAAATGAACTTGTTCAGTTCTGACAACAGCCCTGTGAGTAGTAGGCACCTTTATTTTCTCCACCGCACAGATGAGGACACTGTGGAGAGTGGTTTGCTTTGGGCCTGAACCTTACAGGGGATCCCATCATATAAAAACCATCCCATACTGACGATCCAAACAAGATTTAAAATAGTTAGACAGTTACTTGTTAGTTGGTTTCTAGTTGAATTGGTTATGGTTATCTATCCAGTTAGGAATGTTGCAGCCGTGCAGTCACCTGGGCATTATTTAAAAGTATTTACTGTTAAATGTGCTACCCACCAAGAATAAAATAGACCTTTATGAAAACTGTGCAGTTGTGTGCATGTGTGTTTTAAGTTCCTTTTAATATTGAATATTGTCATTGAATGAGATGGGTCAGTGGATTGAAGATGAGGTTAAATTCAACCATTAGAATCACTGTTGGTATCCTAAAACATGACAAATTATGAATAAAACAAATATACATAAAAAACAACAACACCCCCCCAAACCATCCTATGTTCTCCCCCCAACCCCACTTTAGAGAGCACGCTCTTTTAGACTCTGCTTGTGGTTGTCACCCTTAATTCGCAAATCTTTCTTGTTGTGTACAATGTTAGTGTACAATGTGTCATTTTTGGCTAGTTTTCCTCTTTTCATAGAAAAAACCACCTCACTGTGTTTGGTGAAGTTAGTTGTTGGTGGAAATTCCCTGCCGACTAAGCCTTTTGCGGTTCTTTCTTTCTCTTTTGTGTTGTTGTATCTCCCTTTTCTTTCCTGCCCTTCAACAAACCTTTGATGCCTGTTCATCTCACCGGTTGCTCATCTTCAGAAATTATTGTGGTTCCTGTTGGGATCAGAGGAAGCTACAAGAGGGATTCCTGTCACTGTTGATTTTTCTCCTGTGCTCTTGGGTTCCTCTTTTAAAATGAAGTCATGGACGTGTGGGGCCGATTCAGAGAAACGTCAGCATCACTGCTAACTGCCGCCTCAGATGTCAGTCCTGTTGTCTCATGTCCAGGATGCTTCCCCGGGCCCCTGTGTGGGGGTGGCTGAGGGCTCTGGGCTGGTTGAGAAGCTGTTCAAGGACATTGCTTTTCCCACAGTCCCCTCGTTTCCATCGTCCCTGTCTGAGGGGGAGCCACCTTAATGACACTGGCGAGGCTCTGGCTCTGCTTCCATCCAGTCGATGGCAGCTGCCGGCCATGGCAGAGGCAGCCCTGGCTGTCAGACGGTGAGGCTAAGTCTGGTAGGGCCCTGGAATATTCAGAGCTTTAGTCGTTTTCACTTGTAAAGGAGCGTAGTCTCGTCTATCTGGGGGCTTGTCAGGAGGATTCAGTGAGAATCTCATGTGAAGATCTGCTTCCGTTCATAACACCTAATAAATGTTTAACTAGTTGCCATCTTTCCTCAACACCCTTTTACCATTTAACCTCTTCCTGCATCTCATCCCCCTTAAGGCTCTCTGACCTTTTAGCCATGAAGAATGGCTCTTTCCATTCCATCCAGACCAGAATTCTTGTCTTTTTGTTACTTGGCCCTGATAATCAGAGAGGTCCCAACACGTTTGCAAGGCATCTCCAGCACTCACGTTCTTGCCACTTCCCTGTATCTTTGCATGATTTCTGCACCTGCATCCCAAAGAGGCGGATGAACAGGTCTCTGGCTCTGTTTTCCTCTGAGGAGGATGTGCTGGGCCACCTCCTAGACCCTTAGAAGCAGGGAAGGACCAAACTGGGTTAGCGCTTGAGTGGCTGCCAGGGGCTTTTGCTGTCAGCGTCAATAGTGTGAAGAACCATTCACCGGTGCAGAATAGTCCTTGCCTGATGAGAACCTCTTTTCTTCTGTTGAACGTGTGATTAAAAGCCTCACGAGAGAGGGGAGCGGTGGGCTTTCAACTAAGAGCTGGGAAAGATCAGATCAGTGGCTTCTTGAGGCTGTTAAAGCCACTGGAATGACCTTTCCGGCGGAGTGAAGCAAATGAAGCCTGGTGGAAATGAGCATCGTTCTGTTCCTTCGCCCCTGCTGGCTGCTGGCTAGGCCCTTCATGTAACTTAGCAGCTTATATCAGACTCTACAGTCAGGCGACAGAGTTGAAATCTCTGCTCAGTGACTTGTCACACGTGAGGTCTCTGGGACACCCTCCACCCCTTGAGCTTTGTTTCCTCATGTGCAAAGGAGGTTAATAACAGACTCTGCCTTGCAGGTTGTGGTAGGGACCCCCTGAGAAAGTGCCTGCAAAGTTCAGTCCAGAGCTTCCATACAAAATTTCCACACCCTGGTGGCTTAAAACAACAGGGAGAAATTTATGCTCTCGCAGTTCTGGAGGCCAGGAGTCCAAAGTGTAGGTGTCAGCAGGGTTGATTCCTCCTGGATGCTATGAGACCGCATGTGTTTCCAGCTTCTGGTGGTTGTCAGCAGTCCTTGGTGTCAGCAGTCCCTGGTGTTCTTCGTTTGTAGCTGTATCACTCCAGTGTCTGCCTCTGTCTTCACATGGCCTTTCCTCTGTGTCTGTCTCTCTGTGTCCTGCCCTCACCTCAGAAGAACACCAGTCTGATTGCATTTAGTTCCCACCCCACTCCAGTAGGACCTCATTTTAACTAATTACATCTGCTCAGAGTCTTTTTTCAAATCAAGTCACATTCTGGGGTTCCAGGTGGACATGAATTTCTTGGGGACACAATTTAGTCCAGTGCACAGCTGCATCCTTGAGGTGATTACCAGTGCTCTTTCTCCTCAGCATGCCCGAGCCCTAATTTTCCCCTCTTAGCCCCTGTGGGAATACTGAAAGCTCAGCTTCCCTCTTCATGGGAAAAGCCTCCAGGGCAAAATAAGGCTCTAAATGTAGGACTCGTGTCTATGGACTTCCCTTCCCTCCTAGTCCTTCACTTTTGTTTTAATTAAAAAAAATGTTGTCTGGCTTTTTAAGTTGCTGTTTTTGTGCATGAGAGAGCTGGTCTAATCCAGGCTAACCTTCCGAGGCTGGAAGATGTGCCACCTTGTGTGTGACCATCTCCGGTTCCCGTTCTACAAACCAGGCCCTGCGTTTTCCTTCGGAGAGAAACTGTAGCCCAGGGAAGGCTTTGCAGGCAGTTTCCTTCAGTTTTGCGGTGATTTCCATCAGTGCCTGCAGATAGCTTCATTTCCTGGTTTGTTGTCTGCTAGGTGTTTTGTTTTATTGGTTTTTGTTTTTGGCTTAGCATTCAGATTTCTTTCTCTTTCTGACTTGGAGAGTTTTCCCTAAACATCCCTCACTTACGAAATGTTGGTAAGGCAGACGTTACAATATAAGCAGATATGCCATCAACTCAGCTTTGTCTTGTCGAGTGTTTGGTGGGCCAGGGAAGCAGCGTGCATCTCAAACGGAGATCCCTTGAACAGATTGCCCAGCTAGTTGGTTGCAAAGGACCCAGAGAAACTTGGGATGAGGTCACCTTTAGGATTCAAGCCCAATAGTGAGAGTCTGCCCTGTCAGCGTTCCGTGCATCTCAAACGGAGATCCCTTGAACAGATTGCCCCGCGCGTTGGTTGCAAAGGACCTAGAGGAGCTTGGGATGAGGTCACCTTTAGGATTCAAGCCCCAATAGTGAGAGTCTGCCCTGTCAGCGTGTGAGCTGTTTCCTCGTACTTTGGGACGAGTGACTGGATTTGTCCATACAAGTGCTCGTTTTGGTGATGGTGAGAGGGGATCTGCATTTTCTGAGTCTGGTCCTGCAGTTTGTTTAAACGTCCCCTTCCAGTTAGTGTGAATAATTACAGCAGACACTGGTTGTTCCCCGCCCAGCAGTTCTGTCTCTTCTGTCTTGCTCATGGAACTCTGATTTTGTAAAGATGCTGGGTGGCCAATAGCTTCGGATCGGAAGCTAGCCCCAGGGCAGTGAATCTGGGTCAGAGCAGCCCAGCCATCAGAATTATCCTGCCGGTAGTTGGTTTAGGAAAAGACATGAGACACAGTTCTGACCAAAGAGAAGGAAGAAGTCTGCTGAGGGGCTTCTAAGATGGATTCTTGCTATTTAAAGAGACACAAAAGAAGGCTTATTACATGGCCGTGGGTTGTTGCCTGAGACTGATGCTCGGAGCTGTGGCAATGATCTTGCCACCTTGCTGGGAACGGATCTGAGGACAAAGCCAGTACAGCAAGGAAGGCAGCCCAGGGAGGTGGGGAGTACCTGGATCCTTCCTAATGTTACCGAGTTACTGAATTCACCAACTCTGGAGCTGCCCTACTTCTGGACTTGATGTGATGCAAAATAATAAATTCCCTAAGGTTTTAAGCCATTTTGAGTTCAGCCTTTTATTTGTATCCCAAAACATCCTAATTTAAACTATAGAGAAAAGTAAGACAACTTAAAAAACAAAGTCAGATGCCCCTGGTCCCCAGTGGGAGGACAGAGGTGATTAGCACATTAGTCTTGGAAATGACACCTGGATGTTTT